GAAAATGCCGAAGACTCTACAAAGTATACATATATACAAGTGATCAGCATGACGAGTTGAGTTGATATAGTCAAGTCCGTTTGTGTGTCTGTATATACGCGTACTAGTCATACAGTTTTTAAGATGTCGAACTGAAATTTTGCACACATTCATTTCTTCATAAGAACCTTCTCATATGTTGGAAACAACGATATCGGAGCGCTATTGCACATAGCTGTCATACAAACTGACAAATCAAAATCAAGTTCTTGTATGGAAAACTTTTTTATTTGTTGAGATATCTACACGAAATTCGGTATAGATTATTTTCCCTGGCAATGGTATAATATGCCTAGAAACTGTTTAGATCGGCTAACTATAACATACAGCTGCCATACAAACTGAAGCATTGCAAACAAATTCCTGTATGAAAAACTTTTTTATATGACGAGCTATCTTCAATAAATATGGCATACATTATGACCCAACATAACGCTACACTCTCCGAACAAATTGTCTAAATCGGACTATTATAGGCTATAGCTGCCATATATACTGAACGACCAAATTAGGTTTTTGTAAAGAAAACTTTTTTATGTGACAAGTTATCTGCACGAAATTTCTTATGAATTATTTCTCGAACCAAATCTACCACCTGTGCAGAAATTGTTCAGATCGGAACACTATAGCATATAGCTGCCATACAAGCTGACCTGTCAAAATCAAATTAAATTCGTTTTATAACATTTTAAGCTAAAAGAAATGCACCTGTGCAGGGTATTGTAGCTACGCTGCAAAAAAATTTTACTTCTTTCCTGATTTTGCTTTTCATTATATTTTCCCCAAACTAGTAAAACCTAACTCAACCCTCTGCAAGTTTTTTAAACACAATTTGTAGACCTTTCTATAACCTATCATGATATAGAAAATGTACCTCTGAAGGGTGTTATAGTTGCGGCTACGTCTGTATGTTTTTTCTTCTTTTCACTATAATTAGTAAAGGTAAGGTTCGTCAGCTCCTTAAATAGTGAGATTAAATTTCATACCCCAGGAATGTGTACTGTGAAGCTGAGTTGTTAGCAATGAGTTAAAACTTAAAAGCAACTTGTTTCTGTTGAATAGGAAACTTAAACCTAGATTTAAAATAAGATGACGCTGTGGATATATAAATTTGAAAAATAACTGTAAAATTTTCATACTAAAAAATTAGACATGATCGTGACAAATTTGTCTAGCGATTCCAGACAAATTTATTTCAACAGCAGCAATTATTTATGTGCGAGCATGTATGTATATACATACATTTGAATACGTATATGGCATATATCTACATATTTATATTTATGTATTTATATTGTGTATATATGTATTATGTATTTGTGCTTTAAGTTCAAATGTACTACAAATTAGACAAACCAGTTGACAATATGTTGTACAAGCCAGCACAAGCACACACACTTGTGCAAACACTCAATGCGTTTGCGTTAAATAAATTACAACGTGGCGGCCGTAAAAAGATTTGTTGTCATGCATTTTATAGTATTTAACGGTCATGTTTGTACATTAATTTGCTTTTCATGTCGTTTTCGTATATATTTATTTCTCTTTTTTTCACAACGCGCCGACGACTAGCAGCAGCGTGAGTATGTAGCTATGTATGTATGCGTATAATAAGTAATGCATATGTGTGTGTGCGTTGGAGCGCCGCCATAAACCTTTTTGTCAACTTACAAATTAGTTGACACCGTTGTGGTGCTTACAATGGCGCAAAGGTGCGACGGTGGAAAATTGGCGCTTAGAATTTTAGTTATGTCGACAGTTGACAAGTGGCACAATAACAACAACAACATGGCATGCTTTATTTTAGTTTTTCTTCTATTTGCACTAATGTGTTGTAGTAATGACGCATTAACAGTTTTTATTTCTCAAATTGTTGTTGTCTTTATAAGCTGTGTTACTACTTTTTATTTCAATGGCGCTTCGGATGGACGCGGTTTGACTTTTATAAAGCGGTATGCACACAGCTACACGCATTTTATGTGGTTGTAAGTTGTTTGTGTGCTAAAAGTTGGTTGCTTGCCGCACACATACATAACCTATATAATCATATACATACCTATAGACATGTAATTATTTTGCTTGTCTCGATTTAATTTTGGTTGTCGCGCTTAATTAACTAGTACCCACAAACAACAATAATGCACTTTTGAAGTGATTAAAATTACAAATTGTGTTTTATAAGTTTGAAGAGGGTCGCATACGATTTGGGGTAGAATTTTACTAATTGGAAAAAATAAAATGAAAATGATAAACAAGCATAGTATTTGTGCGGGGAGATACGTATGTATATAAGTATGTATGAGATGTGTATAAGAGACAGGTGTTACCATCAAAAATAATAACAAAACCTCAACTAAAAACTTATTTACTTAAAATAAATCTATAAATTAGAATAAAATTATTTTATATAAAACTTTGTTTACAAAAAAATTTAATGAAAAAAGTAAAAAAATAAATTGAAATAAATTAATAACTAAAAATAAAATTTCATAGAAAATATAACCAAAGTTTTTTATAGTTTCGCGACGCGAAATTATATACAAACATTAAATGTCTCAAGATTATTTGACTAACAAAGCAATAATTACGTATCTACATACTTTCATAACCAATATGCTTGACTTTTACTAGACACTTCTCCATATTTTATTTGCATTAAATTGCTTACACTTTTATCTATATAAATATATATATACTAGGGTGTCCATTAGTTCCCAAATTGATTTTCATATCCTGAACAGGGTATATTAAGTTAGCCACGAAGTTTCAAAGACCGATCCTACAAAAAGTACATGGTGTATAAATCATCAGCGTAGCTATATGAAACGGTTTAGCTATGGCCATCTAATTGTCGGTCCATATATACTCGAATTATTAGAAATTCGGCAGAGGTTATTATCCATTAAAAATTTTATTTTGTTTTGATTATTGCCTAAGGCAATGATTACAGCTGCAATCCCAACTGACCGACACTTTTATGCCATAAAAAGCATGTGTAAAGGGTGTTGGGAAATCTTAGAGACCTCTTTTGTAGATCCCTAAATTTCCTGTAAAACTGTGAGTTTTTTATTTTCAGTTATTTTCAGAATAACAAGCCAAAAATATAGTATTTTTTTCGACCTACCCTCATGTTATTGAATATATTATTTAGTTGCTTATAAAACATGTCAATAATATTTAGTCTTTCCATCAATCAGTCATTCATGCTGTCATTTCATAATTAAATTTTTATAAAAGCACAATAAACATTTGTAAATGTCTAATAAAAATGCCGGCTTAGGCCAAATACACGAACACATAAATGCAGTTAGTAGAAGGTAATGCAATGAAGCAAAATTCTAAACTTTAAATGCATAGATTAACAAACAAAAATGGTTACAACAAAAATCGGATTACATATGTGCTACATACCAAATATAATCGATATGATATGTAAATACATATATGTATATATTTTTGTACATACATACATATATAGTATTTTATATGAATATAAATATCACTATTTAACTAAGTTGCTAGAAGCTGCTTTGAAAACGCTCGCAAGCGACAAAAACGAACAGTAAAATTTATTTTAAAATACGCTTCATTCTCTATACAGCCGGCATGACTCAAGCCCATTATTGCTGACAAGCAAGCATATACTATACATTATAACCAAACACATTCATATACATTTAATATTTTAGCTTGAAAATGCGCATATTTCTTTCACAATTTTCATTTATTTATGCATATTTCTAGTCCACCTTCTTGTTGGCGCAATTGTCATTATGAAATTACACATTTTGCATGTGATTTTTTATTGCGCTGACATATGTTGAAAATTTTTAATAGACCATTGCTTGAGGGCAGTAAAAATTTTACGATAAATAAATTTTCGTTTGTAATGCATAAACGCTTATTTAGACATATTTGGATTGTATATGCATTTCAGTAGCCGAATGTGGTAGAATTTCGCATGAATAAATGCAATTATTTTAAATACTTTCCAAAGGCTCACGGTATTTTGCTTGTGCTGGTGACAAATATGTTTAAAGTGAATGCCAGAAATTTAATTTAGACTAAGATTAATTTTGAATTTTAAGCCATATTGGGCGAAAATCGATAAAATTGTTGCAAAGCAACACCCACATCGCATATAAGACTGTTTCGATAAACTTTAGCTCATTAGACCTTGTACAAAATAATTCATATAATAAGTAAAAATCGAGATTCAACTTATTCCATGAACTACAGCTTTAGGGGTACTTTTTACTTTTTTTACTTTTTGTTTTTTAGTAGCTTTTTTTTCGACAGATCACGCATGAGTCGCATCAGGCTGTCATGTGATTTTTGTTCAGTATTGTTTGGCATTTTATCATGATTTTTGATCGATTTACTCATGATTACGTGTACATCAAAGGCGGCCAAAATCGTGTGCATATGTAAAGTCTAAAGTCTTTGCGGACAATTCCGCTACACTTCAGACCTCTGAGCAAAACACCAGGCGTGTCATTCGCCAGTTACCAATCGAACAAGTTATCGAAAATTGGACTCAATGGTTGGACCATCTGCAACGTAGCCATGTACTCAAAATAAATGCTAAAGATTGTTCTTTCGAATGACAATAAGCTTTACAAAATAAGTTTGAAGTGTTTGTGTTTTTTCTTTAAAAAAGTAGGGAACTTCTAATAAATCACCCTTCACAATATAAAATAGAAGGTAAACCAAATGTATCTGCGTGACCTTACAACAGCTTTAAAAAAATGTAACTATCTACATTAGTTTTTAATAATATTTCAAACAAAAATATACAATAACCCAATATACAATAAAAAAATAAATAAATAATATTATTTTTACATTTGCAACACAATGAGTTTTATACTCATATAAATATATACAATATATTTTATATCAAATTCAATTTTACACTTAACTCTCTTAATCTGAACTCACGTTTTTTTTATGATTTGCAGATAATCAAAGTTGCTGTGTACTGCCAGAAGGTGAGTCAAACTATAGTACTATTTATAAAATATATATACTAAGGATATAAAAGAAAAGAGAACAAAAAGGTTATGCGAAAAAGGTGCGTATCCAAAGTTGTATAGCATTTCATTATATACTACTTTTTTTAAAAAGTCTTACTATGTTTTGCCCACAATAATATTAGGTTGTCAAAAAAGTCTTGCGGTATTTTCGCTAGTTGGCACTGAGAGCGCGTAGTGTTAGTTTTATTCGTCGCATCGGGTCATGCTATACCTTTTTAGAAAGCTCATTTCACGCGCTAACACGTGTTTGATTGATTGTCGTTTCTTTTAAGTCGATCGTGAGTTATAGCGTCGCAAACATGAAGCAAAATAAAGAGAAAATACGGCATGCAGCTCAAGCCGCCAATAAAATTTGTGCAGTTTATGGACCCGATACAGTTTCCATTTCCACCGCACAAAGATGGTTTCAACGTTTTCGTTCTGGTGTAGAGGTGGTCGAAGATGCGCCACGCTCCGGAAGGCCTGTCGTCGAAAATTGCGATAAAATCGCTGAATTGGTCGAAAGAGACCGGCATAGTAKCAGCCGTAGCATCGGTCAAGASCTGGGCATGATTCATCAAAAAAAAAGTTTATGAACAATTGAAAATTCAATATAAATAACGCAAGACTTTTTTGACAAACTATTATGTTGAGATTTTCGACAGCTTCAACAGAGCTTTAGAGTTCTTATTGTATTTTGCTACTTATTTGAGTAAGAGCCTTCAGATCTTGTCGATATAATAATTTTGACATCGGATGTCTATGGTACCCACAAAACAGGTGGTTCCGGCGTAAGAAACAAACACATTCGGTACAGATTTTCTCCCATGATTAGATTGTGGTTTTATGTCTACTTAAAATTACAAAAATAAAGTTGGAGATTAGTGGAAAATTTACCAGACCCTTCATAATTAGAGAGTGTAAATTTCCACACCAACATTTGTCATGCCAGAGATATGAATATGCATTTTATAGACTGAATCAGGTATAATAAATTTACCACGTAGTTGGTAACAGCAGAAGAAAATGCCGAAGACTCTACAAAGTATACATATATACAAGTGATCAGCATGACGAGTTGAGTTGATATAGTCAAGTCCGTTTGTGTGTCTGTATATACGCGTACTAGTCATACAGTTTTTAAGATGTCGAACTGAAATTTTGCACACATTCATTTCTTCATAAGAACCTTCTCATATGTTGGAAACAACGATATCGGAGCGCTATTGCACATAGCTGTCATACAAACTGACAAATCAAAATCAAGTTCTTGTATGGAAAACTTTTTTATTTGTTGAGATATCTACACGAAATTCGGTATAGATTATTTTCCCTGGCAATGGTATAATATGCCTAGAAACTGTTTAGATCGGCTAACTATAACATACAGCTGCCATACAAACTGAAGCATTGCAAACAAATTCCTGTATGAAAAACTTTTTTATATGACGAGCTATCTTCAATAAATATGGCATACATTATGACCCAACATAACGCTACACTCTCCGAACAAATTGTCTAAATCGGACTATTATAGGCTATAGCTGCCATATATACTGAACGACCAAATTAGGTTTTTGTAAAGAAAACTTTTTTATGTGACAAGTTATCTGCACGAAATTTCTTATGAATTATTTCTCGAACCAAATCTACCACCTGTGCAGAAATTGTTCAGATCGGAACACTATAGCATATAGCTGCCATACAAGCTGACCTGTCAAAATCAAATTAAATTCGTTTTATAACATTTTAAGCTAAAAGAAATGCACCTGTGCAGGGTATTGTAGCTACGCTGCAAAAAAATTTTACTTCTTTCCTGATTTTGCTTTTCATTATATTTTCCCCAAACTAGTAAAACCTAACTCAACCCTCTGCAAGTTTTTTAAACACAATTTGTAGACCTTTCTAYAACCTATCATGATATAGAAAATGTACCTCTGAAGGGTGTTATAGTTGCGGCTACGTCTGTATGTTTTTTCTTCTTTTCACTATAATTAGTAAAGGTAAGGTTCGTCAGCTCCTTAAATAGTGAGATTAAATTTCATACCCCAGGAATGTGTACTGTGAAGCTGAGTTGTTAGCAATGAGTTAAAACTTAAAAGCAAGTTGTTTCTGTTGAATAAGAAACTTAAACCTAGATTTAAAATAAGATGACGCTGTGGATATATAAATTTGAAAAATAACTGTAAAATTTTCATACTAAAAAATTAGACATGATCGTGACAAATTTGTCTAGCGATTCCAGACAAATTTATTTCAACAGCAGCAATTATTTATGTGCGAGCATGTATGTATATACATACATTTGAATACGTATATGGCATATATCTACATATTTATATTTATGTATTTATATTGTGTATATATGTATTATGTATTTGTGCTTTAAGTTCAAATGTACTACAAATTAGACAAACCAGTTGACAATATGTTGTACAAGCCAGCACAAGCACACACACTTGTGCAAACACTCAATGCGTTTGCGTTAAATAAATTACAACGTGGCGGCCGTAAAAAGATTTGTTGTCATGCATTTTATAGTATTTAACGGTCATGTTTGTACATTAATTTGCTTTTCATGTCGTTTTCGTATATATTTATTTCTCTTTTTTTCACAACGCGCCGACGACTAGCAGCAGCGTGAGTATGTAGCTATGTATGTATGCGTATAATAAGTAATGCATATGTGTGTGTGCGTTGGAGCGCCGCCATAAACCTTTTTGTCAACTTACAAATTAGTTGACACCGTTGTGGTGCTTACAATGGCGCAAAGGTGCGACGGTGGAAAATTGGCGCTTAGAATTTTAGTTATGTCGACAGTTGACAAGTGGCACAATAACAACAACAACATGGCATGCTTTATTTTAGTTTTTCTTCTATTTGCACTAATGTGTTGTAGTAATGACGCATTAACAGTTTTTATTTCTCAAATTGTTGTTGTCTTTATAAGCTGTGTTACTACTTTTTATTTCAATGGCGCTTCGGATGGACGCGGTTTGACTTTTATAAAGCGGTATGCACACAGCTACACGCATTTTATGTGGTTGTAAGTTGTTTGTGTGCTAAAAGTTGGTTGCTTGCCGCACACATACATAACCTATATACAGTCATTCATACATATGTATATGTACATACATATAGACATGTAATTATTTTGCTTGTCTCGATTTAATTTTGGTTGTCGCGCTTAATTAACTAGTACCCACAAACAACAATAATGCACTTTTGAAGTGATTAAAATTACAAATTGTGTTTTATAAGTTTGAAGAGGGTCGCATACGATTTGGGGTAGAATTTTACTAATTGGAAAAAATAAAATGAAAAGAAAAACAAAAAAAAAAGGTACCTCCGGTTGCACTGAAGATATAATACCCTGCACAGGCGTATTTCTTATAGCTTAAAAGGTTATAAAACAAATATAATTTTAATTGTGATAGATTGGTCTATATTGTAGCTATATGTTATAGTGGTCCGATCTGAAAAATTTCTTCCTAGGTTAGAGCATTGTTTCGAGAAATAATTCATGCCAAATTTCGTGCAGATAACTTGTCAAATAAACAAGTTTTCTTTACAAGAAGACAATTTTGAACGTTCAGTTTATATGACAGCTATATGTTATAGTGGTCCGATCTGAAAAAATTCTTCAGAGATTGTAGCATTGTTTCAAGCAATGCCAAATGCCAAGTTTGTGCCGATAGCTTCTCAAATAAAAAAGTTTTTCTCACAAGAACTCAATTTTGATTTTGCTAAAATGATCAGATCTGTAGCTTTATCTCGAGAGATTATTCGTGCCAACTTTCGTGCAGATAGCTTCTCAAATAAAAAAAGTTTTTCATAGAAGAACTTGATTTGGATCGTTCAGTTTGTATGACAGCTACATGGTATAGTGGTCCGATATCGGCGCTTCCTACAAGTAAAAAATTTGTCGGCGAGAAAAGAACGTCTATAAAATTGCAGCTCGATATCTCAAAAATTGCGGGTACTGGGTGTTAAAACTTCGTGGCAAACTGAGGGTTTGTGAAGGGAGATATTAGAAGCGTGTAAGAACACCAAAACTTTCCTTGAGATTTACCAAAATTTTTGGTTAAAAACTATATTTTTCAGTTCCAGTTTTAATAGAGATCTCTGATATCTGCATATTTGCTCACATGTTCTTTGGCCTATCATATTAAGAGAGAGGTTAGGTTGTATAGGTGCATGATCAATTGAGGCCATATAAAAAAAAAAATCTGTGTTCGAACTTATAAATTAGCAAACCTCATTATTTTTCCATACTGCCAATTAAAAGCCACTCTTTGTTCAGCTTTGAAATTTAATGCCTGAACCACGGCCTGGAGGGCACTAAAATGGAAGGCAGGAAGTCTGAAGCTGGAGTTGATAGAGTGCTCCCGACAACAAGCCCGTCCAACAACCTTCCCAGCAAGCTTTGACCCTTGCGATCAACGGCTTCTTCCTACCCATAACTCCCACGCCGGTATATGGGCAGAGAAGGAGTCGTCAGAGTTCGGTTTGGCGACTCCATGATCCAAGTGATCCATTCTAAAGTCAAAATGTGTGATGATTTAGGAGTGTTTATACACGTGTTCTTTTGGGACGGAGCTTCTTTCAGTAGAAAACTATTAAACATGTTATAATATTGAATTCTTACTGCCGTGGTTAGGTTATTAATCAAATAAGTTTTTACGTTATTGGATGTATTATTATAATACTCAGCACAGTGTTTATTTATTTTGCCACGAAGTTTGTAACAATCAGAAAGAAACGTCGAAGATTCCAAAAGGTACATATGTATATGCCATAAATAATTAGCGTGATGAGCTAAGTCGATCTAATCGCCAAAGCAAATTCGTTAAAAAATAAAAATACATACGAGCATGATTAACCTTTAGTTTTTGAGATAACGTTCTAATTTTTTAAAGAACCTGCTTACTTGTCGGAACAGACGATATTGCCATACAAAATATCCGAAATTTTGC